ACACTCACACAGTACACACACACTGGGCTCTACACTAAGCTATGGCAGCTATGGCTGCCGCTACCTATCGCTATGGCTACACTGCATCACTCTCGCCCACTTCGTCTYCGGGCCTTCTGCAGACCTCCTCGCACAAGCKGCTGTGGCAGYGCTTCCGCATGGCTTCCGCAGGAATGAATGAATGGCTGGGCGCAGCCTCTTGCTTTATACTTCTGTGATGCGTTGGTCTGCCCTGTATCCCCTGGCCCACGGTGTGCACAGTCCCAGGCGGTACTTGCTTGACTGGACCGGACTGGGTGGACTGGGACTGCTGACTGTACGAGGTGGACTGCCACCACTTGACCACTTGCCTCTGCCTAACGTAGGCTGACTCCGAAAGGCCACTTCTAGAACTCTCTGTTTTGGCCTTTCGGTACAGTAGCAGCTACGACTTTGCCCTTTCACGTAAGTAGCAGCTGCGACCTTGACCCTTCCAGGTAAGTAGCAGCTGCGACCTTGACCCTTCGGACAGTCTACAGCTACGACCTCTAGACTGTCTAGACTCCTACCCAACAGGTCTACAGTTCGAATCTCTTCTACCCTGTAACCTACGAAATCGTACCTACCACTGGCGGTCCTACAGGTCGCAGGGTCAAATCTACGGGTTGACACCGGTACTCTACACAGGTAAGATGGGGGACTAGGGATCGGGATCTGCATCAGCTACTGCGAACTGGTGAATACCGTTTCAGACCAATGGGCCCGAATGAACGACCGGTATAACGAACCATGACGAAAAATGTCTCAGGGGCATAAAATGCATCCCTGACGGGCTGCGAACTACCACGTATTTTTGCAAAATCGCAAATTTTATGTAGTTTTCGGGTCACAAGCGGCACCTATTTTGCGTGTTCACATAAAAGGGCATGTAAATGTCAGCGGCCTGGACAGCCGCGGGCTTACATATTTTGCGGGGACCTCGAGAGGTCCCCGCAAAACCGTATTTCTTTTTCCTCTACTGCTTTCTGGAAGCAAAATAAAATAAAATCGAAGGGCATTGTCCTGTCTGACTGCACACAACGTATTTTCACATCTCAAGGCCAGGTCGCGACCCTGTCCTTTCTGCTTTGGGCAGAAAACGGGTGAGCAGTGTGACCCGCAGGTGCCATATAAACGCAAATTCACATACGTAACATTTGCGGAAGTACGTGCTAGTGTGAGCATGCCCTGAACTACGCCTGTGACACGTGTGCGTGTGTGTGTATGGGCCTCGCTGCACTACTCTCGAAATGTGCAAAACGAGAGTGAATCTTCACCTAGAATTCGGAAAGATACACGGCCAAGATTTTGTTTTTTGTGCATGTCGAGAGTAGTGCAGCGAGGCCCGCGACGCCCTATGTGTGTGGGCCTCGCTGCACTACTCTTGAAAGGTGCAAAACGAGAGTGAATCTTCCGCTAGAACATGGAAAGATACAGCGACATGATTTTTGTCTTTTGTGCATTTCAAGAGTGGTGCGGCGAGGCCCTGTGTGTGTGTGTGTGAAGGCGGTCAGTAAACCCACGCTCCCGCTGCCGCGTGCATGCTTGCTCCTGGCGCGCAGCGGAGCACTGGCCGGGTGGCCGCTGCGCCGGGTGATGATCGACCACGTGATGGTCGACGGTGACACTTCGTAGTCAGGGGGAGACCGGGAGGGGGTTGGATGAAGGGAGGCAACCGCGCAGCGGGGGTCTCTCTCTCTCTCTCTCTCTCTCTCTCTCTCTCTCTCTCTCTCCCCCTGGCTCCGAAGTGTCAGGGCCCGTACCGCGTGATGGTCGCACCTTCTTCGTTTCAGTTTCTTCAGCCACGTACCTCCCATTAATTTCTAAATGCATCTGGCACTCCTAATGGTCCCGATACATTC